ACCCTCGGCGGCTGGTTCACCCAGTTCCCGGGGGGCGCGATCCAGCCGCCGGCTCCCGTCCGGCTTCGCAGCGCGACGGGGTCCCTCGGGAACGCGGCTAGGTGCCCGCTGCCTGCGCCGTCCGAGAGGGACCGGGGGGGCTGGGGTGGGACCGGCGTGGCCGCGCTGCAGGCGGGGGCCAGGCCAGGAACAAACTGGAGATAGCGACTCAGCCTCCGTCCTGTCCTCACCCGGGCACCCCTCCAGCTTTCCCCAGAGCCCCCCAGCACCCCTGCCAGCCTGTCCCAGTGCCCCCCAGCCTTCCCCAGTGCCCCCCAGTGCCCCCAGCCAGCCCCCCATTGCCCCAGCCTGCCCCAGTGCCCCCCAGCCTTCCCCAGTGCCCCCCAGTGCCCCCAGCCTTCCCCAGTGCCCCCCATTGCCCCAGCCTTCCCCAGAGCCCCCCAGCCCCCCCCACGCTCACCGCTCTCCGAGTAGCCGGTGGCCGTGACAATGGGCACGGCCACCATGACCAGCCCGGCCGCGCTCCACACGTACTTCATGAGGAATTGCTCCAGCATCACGTACCAGAGACGCTGCAGCAGCACCAGGTCCAGGTGGGCGGCCAGTGCCCCGTAGCACCGCTGCAGCAGGGCCAGCTCCGCCTGCGGGGGGCGACAGAGAGCGTCAGGGGCCACAGGGAGCGTCAGGGGCCCGGCTCCGCCCGCGGGGGGGCGACAGAGAGCGTCAGGGGCCCGGCTCTGCCCGCGGGGGGCGACAGAGAGCGTCAGGGGCCCGGCTCCGCCCGCGGGGGGCCACAGGGAGCCTCGGGGGCCCGGCTCCGTCCGCAGTGGGGGGGCGAGGGAGGGACTTGGGGGAACCCACGCCCGGGACCCCCCAGTGGTGCGGATTGTGCACTAAACAGGCTGGAGGGGAGATGGGGGGTGATTAGGGGGTGCTGGGTGGGGGAAGGTTGGAGTTAGTGGCGCTGGGGATGGGGAGCCCTTCTGGGGTGCCAGTGGTGGCACGGAATGGGGCGCTTAACCCCAGAAAGGGAAACTGAGGAAGAGAGAGAAGGAAGTAGAACCAAGGCGAGAACCCAGGTGTCCTGGCTGCCAGACCCCCCCCACACACACACAGCTGTGGGGAACCCAGGCGTCCTGGCTGCCAGACCCCCCCACACACACACAGCTGGTGGGGAACCCAG